GGGAAGGAGGAGAGAGCTGAGGCCCCAAAGTGCAGCCTCGGAGATCAAGGGCCCGCTCCAGAGCCGGGATGTGACCGGCCTCGAGGGCGCGGCGGGCAGAGGGATCCTGACCTAGCGGCCCCGACTCGGAGCCCCGGCTGTCCAGTGTTCCTCGGACCCGAGCCTGCAGTGGACTCGGGCCGCAGGCGCCTCCGCATGAGGCAGCGCAGTTAGGGTGAGTGTGGGTTCTGGCGGGGACCGGGGTGAGCCAGGCGTGCGGGACGGGGGCCGCCCGAGCCCAGGGTTAAGCTGCGGGGTCGGGGAGAATTAGCTGGAAAGGGGGCGAGTAACGAGACCGAGACCTCGGGGACGGTGAAGGCGAGAGGGCGGAGAGAAGTGCCTCAGGTCTGGCTGCCGCCTCGGCCCAAGTCCCGGCGGTTGGGTCTAGGGACCCAAGAGCATAGAAGCGACAGAGCCAACCCCAAAGCAACAAGGCTAAGCCGCGGTAGCCTTGGAATTGGCGTTTGCAGAATAGGAAAGGCCGGGAAAGAGGGCCGGGTTACGAACGGTGAATATCGGCAAAATTAAAGCAAGGAGCATTTTATGTAAATAATGCTGGTTGATCAAGAATTATCAGGGTGTGAGCAAGCAATTACCAAAGAAACCGGCTAAGCGGCTTCACTAATACAGTATCCGGACTTTAAAAGGACAATGCAGTAATAGTCACTTTCAGAACCAAGTGAAAATTGTAACCACAAATTTAAAAGAATCATAGACAAAGTAACTCCAAATACAGGAACAATGTGATAAGAACCAATGTATTAGAGTCAATAGCAATAGTATAAGAAATAGTAATAGTGTAACAATTGATGAAAATGTAGGGGAACTGTGAGTAAGAAATACTATTCAGGGAAATTGTAATATTAGTAGAATTGACAGAATACTATCATATAATTTATTGTTGATACTATAATGAATTATTAAAATAAATATTAACCCAAATCTTATGAGCAATGGTAATACAAATAAAGACAGCAAGTAAAATTGCTGGAGTGATATGACAATTTATGACCAAGGTATTAATCGTCCCAACAACAGTGTAAATAATGGTATAGTAATGAGAAGTATTGTACCAATGTGATGAAAATAACCAGGCTATTAAGAGCTGTAGCAATATTACAGATTATGACAAAACAGCAACAAGTAAGGATGTGATGAAAATCACTAGTGAATTAAGACCTGTAGCATTACCAACAATGGCAAAGTAACAGGATATTGTGACAATGTGATGAAGAATACCTGGAGTGTTATGAACAATACTAAGAAAACAAATAAAGGCAAAATAACAGGAAGCGTTATAAGGATGCGAAGAAAATTAAGGTGAATATTAAGAACAGTGATGTTACAAGTATGGTAAATAAGTTTTCGAAACTGTGACAAAGAACAACAGAGGCTGAGGAAACATTTTAGGGGCACAGAGTAAAAATTAAAATAACACTAGATTGACACGACCTATTAGAACACCAGGCCCTAGAATGATGGAGCACTGACAGGAAAGCAAGGGGCCCATGTTTAATAATGATGAATTAATAAACCAGACCAGTACTTTAAGCATAAAGTACTAAAAATAAAAAGTGCCAATAACCTATGTGATAGGATAAATATTCTTAATGTTATTGAACTGAGCAGACTACCGCTCTGACGACAGAGATAATTAAAATGTAACAATTCCCCCCCGTGCAAGAACAATGTCCGCAGTAATCCGGAGGGAAAAGAAAAGCGCTGCTCTTGGAAACCGAGGCGGCTGCAAGCAAGGCCGCGGGGCCGCGGGCCGCGCCGCAGAGG